CCCTCCTACCATTCCGGAATGGAAGTGGGAAAGGATCACTATGGACTTTGTGATCGGATTGCCACGATCTTCACGAAAGAATGACGCCATCTGGGTCATTGTTGACAGGTTGACAAAGTCCGCTCATTTTCTACCCGTCAGACGTGACTCCTCCATGGACAAATTGGCAGACTTATACGTTAGAGAGATAGTTCGGTTGCACGGTGCACCGCTGTCGATCATAGCTGATAGAGATCCCCGGTTCACTTCGATGTTCTGGAGAGGACTTCAGAAGGCTTTTGGCACAGCTTTGAACCTTAGTACGACATTTCACCCTCAGACCGATGGCCAGTCTGAAAGGGTGATACAGATTGTCGAGGATATGATGCGAGCTTGTGTGATCGACTTTGGAGAAGATTGGGAGCGTTACTTGCCGTTGATAGAGTTTGCATATAATAACAGTTACCAGGCGAGTATTCAGATGGCTCCGTATGAGGCACTCTACGGCAGAAAGTGCCGAACCCTGATTTGTTGGATAGAGCTTAGCAAGCGTAAGCTCGAGGGACCAGATATTGTGCAGGATACCGAGGAGAAGGTTCGTGTGATCAGAGACCGACTCCGCGCCGCTTCGGACAGACAGAAATCTTATGCAGACTTAAAGAGACGAGACATAGAGTACAATGTTGGTGACATGGTATTCTTGAAGGTTTCACCTTGGAAGAAGGTCCTACAGTTCGGGAAGAAAGGGAAGCTTAGCCCTAGATTCATTGGACCCTACTGCATTCTGGAGCGAATAGGACCTCTTGCTTACAGGCTAGAGTTGCCACCAGAGTTGAACAGGATTTACGACGTCTTTCATGTCTCCATGCTGCGTAGATACCGTTCAAATCCGACTCATGTGTTGCCGACCAATGCTGTAGCCCTCGATGAGAGTTTGTCTTACGAAGAAGAGCGAGTTAAGATCTTGGCGCGCGAAACTAAAGTACTAAGGAATAAGACGGTACCTTTGGAAAAGGTACTATGGCGTAATCATGCGGTGGAAGAAGCCACCTGTGAGACCGAAAAATCTATGCGAACTCAGTACCCTCATCTCTTCGGCGACCAATGACTCAGGTAATTTCGAGGACGAAATTCTTTTTAAGGGGGGGGGAGAAATGTAACGCCCCGAAATCTGGCCCAAAAGAATAAATTAAATTCGTTAGAGCAATTGATTACGAATTGGGCCTAAAAAGGGGTTAAAATTATAATTTGGATTCTAAGCCCAACTTTTATGTCATTTCGTAGGAATTATTTTTGTGATCACGTCGGTTCAAACGGCTCGCGAATCGGAGTTATGGAGCTCATGTTATAGCCGTTTAATCAGGTATTTTGGGCCCGGAGCCCAAACCACTAGTATTGGGATTAATAAGTAAAACCTAAACCTATTAATATTAAAATAAGGCATATCTTCCGTTCAGATCTGAGAGCCGCACGATCTTCATCGTCATCTTCTTCTTCTTCATTTTCGGTCGTCCTTCCCCAGCCAGTCGCTGCTGCCTCTCCTTCGCCAGGAGTCCGCCGCTCACCGCCAGGATCAGCGCCGCCGACCACGATTCCCAATCCTCGTGCTGCCGTTCGTCGCCTCCACTACCGGCGCCTGTCATCCTCGCCGTCGAGTTGCAGCGCCGCCAATCGCCTCCAGCCAACCTCGCTCAGTCGCTGCGCAATCCAACACCACGTCGCCACTCCAGGTTAGCCCTCATCCCATCTCCATCTTCCTTGCAATTTCCTCTGCAATTGGATCTCTGGAGCAGCGCCACGCCGGGTCGCCACCTTTGCCGGCGGTCGCTGCGACTCACCGAACTAATACATCGCCGGTTCGCCGCTGTTGTAGCTAGGGACTCCGCCGGACAGAGGCTATCACCGGAGCTGCTCCTCTGTTCGTGATTTCTACGAGCTACTGCCGCCCCGCCACTGTACGCCGGCGTCCGCCACCGTCGCCGCATCCAGCTGCTGCCCCGGATTGATGCCGCCGGCAGATTAATCTCCACGCCAGATTGATTGTTCGATTCTGTGTTTTGACTCAATTTGACCCGTTGTTCGTTCGATTTCGTTGATCTGCCTTCCGTTCGAGCTTTCGATTCGATTTCTGCGTAATCCAGGTCCGTACTATGAAGTTAATAGCGTTTAGAATAGATTTAATGGTTCGGATCGTTATATATGTTTATGCTATAATTTGGCTAAATTGGTTAATTGGATTAAATTGATTATTTGAATTGAATTGTTGAGGATTGTGAATTGACTGAACAGGTTTGACTTTGACTTGGGTTAGGTCCTGTTTGACTTGGTCTTTGAGTGTATACTCTGTTGAAGTAGGTTTGACCTAATGGTTAAATCCAAGACTTTAATGAATTAATTAAGTTAATTAATTAATGGTGATTAGGATCAATTGGTCTATTATGTCCAACATAGAAACTGGCCATTGCTCGGGCGGCTGCAGGGCCTGGTCAGTGAGGTTAAGACGTGCGCACGAGGGTCTGTGATCTTGGGTTTGAGGCTATCGCCCGAGGGATCCTACCTCAACCGAATTGAGGCTATCTTCGGTATTACGGATTGAGGCTATCTCCGTCATAGGCAATAAATGTTAAGTGGTTTGACTTTTGTGAAAGTCTAAATTGGTTTGACCGGTGGTCAAAGAGTTAATGAACAATCCTTAACACCTAAATCGTTTTGAAAAGAAAGAAAATAAGTTGACTGTTGGTCAACCGTCTAAAGAACCGAATTTAAAGTTGAATTGATTTTCATTAAAAGGATAAACATATGCGCGATCTTAATTATTGAATTATTATGTTTATTCTTGTGCTACAATGGAGTGCCACTCAGCGTCAATGCTGAGCGGATAGCGTTGTTTTCCTTTTTGCTGTCAGTAGGTGATCAGACAGATGAACCTAGAGCCGATCCCGGAGGGCATTGAGGAGGAGATGTACGATGGCGTGGCTGTCTCCTTAATCTGTAGTTATGCTATATTTAATTAACTTTAATGCTTATTACGTTTTCGGGCAAGATCCCAAGTTGTTTGACTTTAAAAAGGCTTCTGCATTATTTTAAATTACTCCGATGGATTTTTATATGTATTGATAGAATGTTTGTTTTAAATTGTTTTGAAAATGTTGTAAATTCGGATACCAATCCAGTGGCACACCGGTCCGCTGTCTCACGGGTTTGGGTTACGCGGGTTGGGGTGTTACATTTTGGTATCGGAGCATTTGGTTTTAAAATTGGTCTTTGGACCCTTTCAAAATAAAATACAATGAATAATTCAGCCGCATCTGCATCTCACGTAACTCCTCTGCCCTGGGAAGGTAATAAGTATTTATAACTTTATCTGTTATATGTTAAGATTTGACTTGGGAATTTCCTTATTATTTTAGAATGATTCAAGAATCGACCCATGGCCAGTACGTTCCGGAGACGGAGCACGTGAGCGTGCACACGGTGAACACCGAGGGTTCGAGTTTCACGCCTCCGGGTGACGGAGGGCAGCAGCAGAATCAACCTGAGCCAGCGGGACAGCCACCAGTTGTACCACCCCCAGTCGTACCACCTCCAGTGATGCCACCGTTGGCGACGCCGCAGGTGGCCTACGAGCAGATATTCCCGGCTATGATGGCCCATTATATGCAGCACATGGCGCAGCTTATGCCNAAGAGTTTCGAGGAGACAAGATGGGGGAGCCCCAGAGTGCGTTGGATTGGCTTGAGCAGATGGACCGGGTACTCAAGAATTTGAGAGTCCCTGATGCAGATCGCTCGAAGTTGGCGTCACAGATGTTCCGGAAGGGAGCATATGATTGGTGGAAGCACATTGACCAGGATCCACACACGCCCAAGCCTTGGACCTGGGATCGCTTTGATCGAGCTTTCACGAAGGAGTACGTCCCCACCCGGTACCGCGAGGAGAGGCGCGATGAGTTCGTTGCGCTTAAGCAGGAGGGGATGTCACTGCCTGAACTGAGACAGAAGTTCGACTACCTGTCCCAGTATGCGACGAGTCTGGTCTCCACTCCGGAGGATCGTTTGAATGAGTTCGTCAAGAAGCTACGGCCGGACTTGAGGCCGTACGCCGCGCTGATCACGACGACAGATTTTAATGCGGCGTATGATTTGATTGTGAAGACGGAAAAGAGCTTGGACGATTTGCAGGCGACCAAGAAGGAGGATCGAGCGACGAAAGACCCGCGACCCGCGGCCAGCGCCGGGCCGAGCGGGAAGAGTTTTCGATTCGGGGGAAAGAGGTACGAGAAGGGATCTTCGAGTGCGCCGTCGCCTAACAGGAGTAAGTCGAAGCCATATCCGTCGGCCGCCCAAGGCTGCTGAGTTTATATCGTCCATGAGCGCGAGACGCTTGATTCGCAAGAAGTGCGAGATGTTCCCAAAGTCTGTGTTTCGTACTCGTTATGGTCATTATGAGTTTACGGTAATGCCCTTTGGTTTGACCAATGCTCCTGCAACATTCATGGATCTCATGAATAGTGTATTCTGACCCTATCTCGATCAATTTGTAGTTGTGTTCATCGACGACATTCTTGTATATTGAAAGAATCGAGAAGACCATGCAAAGCACCCGGTGATTGTACTCAGTGTACTACAAAAACATAAAGTGTATGCAAAATTATCCAAATGTGAATTTTGGCTTGATGAAGTCACATTCCTTGGACATGTGATTTCGAAAGAAGGTGTGTAACACCCCAACTCGAATAACCCAATTAACTAGATTATTTGAGCCGAAGTAGTTACCATGATGGTAAATTACGCATGATAATTTTAAGAATAATTTAAAACCATTTAAAACATTAATATAAATGATAATTTCAAATATTAAATTCAGAGTAATGTTGAAACAGTACGGAAGCTTAAATATAAAATATAATCAAGTCATATTACATTTTCTGGGAACTCGCCCGTAAAGGTGTTTATTAAAATAAAGCATAGTAAATTGTGGTCCACCAGTCCGTACATCTCGTCACTCTCATTGACCTCCGGGATGGGCTCCATGTTCAGTATTGTTACCTGCGTGTAGCAACTAAAAACAAACTACACGCTCAGCGCCAGCTGAGGAATACGCTAATACAACAATTCCAAGTTGAATAGCAAGTAGACATACAATTATTCATGATATGACATAATATAGCATGTATGTTCAAGATGATGATAATGATACGTAATTGATGTCATACAAAATCATGATGATTGTACTTGATAATGAATTTGTTAGTCGGTTTAGACTTTGTGCCCACGCCTTAGAGGGGGGGTGAATAAGGCGTTTGAAAACTTTTCGGAGTTTGATAAAAACGGAGTTGGCAAATGCGGAAGCAATAACCAAAACACAAAAATAAAAACGTAAATAAAATGCACACCGATTTTATACTGGTTCGGGAAACCCCTACTACAGTACCTCGAGGCTCCTCCTCAAGAATTTCCGAACTTGTAACGCCCTACAACCCGGTCTAATAGAAGTGATTAATTTAATTAATTAATTACTGTTCCGGACCGGGGTTGGGAAAATGAAAAGTTCCTTGAAAAATTATTTGATCATATCATTAAATTCGTCTTGACTGTCTTATTCCAGAAACGCAAACGGATTTCAATTCGGACCCGTTTGGGGGAAAAACGCGTACCGTTCAGGTCAGATTTTACATTACGGAGTAGAGTAAATATTGTAACCTCCATCCCATTCACACGCCACTCTAATAATGCTCACTTAAATCCCCATTACTTGCTTCATTATTATTCTTATATTAAAACCCCCATCCCATCCTTTTCCTCCTTCACTTTGTAACCCCCATGTTCAACACACCACCACTCTCTCTCCCCTTTTCTCTTGATTCGGCCAAAGCAGCAGCAGCACCAAGGGGAATTCTGGTAGTAGACGCGGAGGAGGGAGAGAGGGAAGTGCACGTGTGAAGCAGGCCGTTCGTTTGTTCGTCCGTTGTCCGTTCATTAGCACCATTCGTTCATCTCGTTCCATCAATCCCTCCATTTAGAGGTGAGTAGTTGTCCCTCTAATTCTAGAACATTTAGTTATAATCTATGTCTTTATATTCATAGGAATATCGTACGCAACCTACGTAGAATCTATGCATGTTCGTAGGTTAACAATCAAACATACGAGAGTCCGTGTTATCAAGTTACGAACTCGTTAATATAAGCATTT